TTCTCAGGGGGCATGCGCTTAGAGTGACCGCATGCATTTATCGAGAAAAGTACCATCAGGTTAGTGATTTTCTTACTGTTTTTTGGAAGTAAAGGATCGGGGAGGGAGGGGTTGGAAAATCCAGTCACCAGAGTCATGTACATTGATATTTTCACGGTAATATTTTCCGTTAGTATAAAATACAGTAAATATACATGGGGCTGGGGCTAGCGAGCATAGCAAGGTGGCAGTTAGAGCGTTTTTCGTCACGTTGAAGTTCAAATATTACAATCTCTTTGCATTGATTCGTTTCAGCAGTTAATTGATGCTAGCATATGCTAGGAAACTGAAACAACCGTTAACAGCTTGCTTCTAAGCACTTCTAGGCATCCTACATTAAAATTCATGCATTACAGCCATCCCTTATTTTCCACGGTTCAAGCTGGCCGTTCTCCTCAGAAATTACGGTTCGGCTTACCAAAGGCCGCAAATTATTTATCAGTTTAACCCATTTGGATCGCCCACTTATTGTTCACGTTTCTAATAGCCGTTACTTGTCATTCAAGTCATGAATTTTGTTAAGTGGAAGGCCTGAGTATTTTTTAAACATGAGGATTCAGTCACTATTTGCCTTTGGATTGTACACTATCCACTGGTTTACTGAAAATGGAGTTCTTCCGAGGTCTACTTCTGTCGATCCTTCTCTCAGGCGAATCATTTCAAGTAGTAGGTTTATTCCCCCTTCAGATCTCTTTCCCTGTCGATGCTTTCTTTGATCAGATTTTCTTCTTTTATCATGATTCTGTTGAGAGTGAGACAGAATGTGGAACGCTAGCACTAGAAGGTTTTGGACCGTATAGAAAGATTGCCCATCACATGAAATGCATGTCTTCAAATTAGCTTCCAGATCTTACTTTGCTCCGATTTTTGCCTTACACAAGTCAGATTTTGTTGGCCATCAGAGTCCTCCTAACTTGAAATTAAGAATAATGCGCCGCTGTCTTTGTTGCGCGACATTGGAGACAATTTTAATTTTTTGAGAGGCCTATTTAACTGCATGCATATCCAGGCACTATCCCCGTCGAAAAACTCGATGAGCCTCACAAGTAAATGAAAATGAAGTGACAACTATTGGAGGCTTAAATGGTGGATGGAAGCATGGACGTTCAGGCAGTGGTGGAGTCCAGCGTAGTGTATTGCCAGTTGTAAGAACAATTTTTTTTTGCAGGTGATCAGTTCATCATACGACCGATCGGTAATAATCTGGAGTCCGAGTATGGATGAGCAAAAGCCGGATCAGATATCGGAAAAGATAATACAGCTACAAGAAGATAATTGGAGTGACGAAGATTGAAGGAGAAAATATAAATCATATGTATGGTTTAATTATCATATAGTGGCCTTTCACTTACTCACCAACAGATTTCCCTTGGTTTTTGTCTTATTTTTTCTTTTGGCCTGTTGGTTTTTGATCTCTATCGATATTTTTCAGAATTAAGCAACTACACCACTTGTTTTTACTCAAAATTTCGCTTTTATTCATTGAGAAGTGCTTTTGTGAAGTTGACTGCCTCAGCTTTCACCGGGATGTATAAGAGATCTTGTATGAATAAGCCGCTCAAACACCGCTTGCAGGAAGAAAATCAGGACCTCTTTTTTCACATTGAAGGAATTAATGACCCTTTCAACCAAAACGTGCGGTATTTTGAGATTGCCATATCTTTTTCAAGATGTTATACCCTGCCCTCTGGGCAACATTGGATCAAAATAAGTAATTTGACTTAAACAGGCATATTTAGACTGATGCAACAGTACAGTCCCAGGAAAAGCCCGTATGTTTTATCGTGCCCTTAAAGACTAACTTGCTATACTAGTGGCTGCCCTGTGTGTGTAAATACTTAGTTATATATGTATATATTTTTAAATACATGGCTTGACTAAAATAATATAGCGTAACTTAAGAAAAGAAAGTACGAAAAGGGTGGTGAGGTTCTGGAGAAATGAAGCTCCCCAGAGGTAAGCCGAAAAGAGTATTTTTCTTGAGTAGCTCTAAAAATAGTTCTGGGATCCCGGGGATCGGGGAGGAGTACTTGTATGCCTCAAAGGTCAGAGATTACCAAGACTGCGAAATTTTAACTGGGTAGGGTGCCTAAAAGTTGGACCAGGGACCGGAGTTGTTATATCATGGTGACGCAGTTGTTCCTTACGCCCTTTCTAACAAAAAACCATAAATCATTATTTGATATATCATATGACAGTTTGTTTATTTTTTTGGATTTGTTAATTTTTCAACCTTTTTTCTTTCCTGGTCTTCCATAGCACGCCTAATTTGGTGAAAAAAATATTATGTACCGCATGAATGAGGGCCAAGATTACTCGCATTGTTGTTGTTGAGACTCCATCACGCTATGTTTGGCCATCTCGAGCTCTTCTCTTCTATGTTTTCGAATTATGCCGTTTGAGATTGGTCTGAGTGTAGGCCATGTTAATCACACTATCTGTTAATTTTGTCCAGTTAGTCTCTTTTAGGCATAATTAAACTGTAATTTTGTTAATCAGCAACAAGCATAAAGTACAAACAACGTAAAAATGAATGCAGCAAACGACATGGTACACTGGTTTCTCTTCCCCTCCAGCTGCGTTGCTTCTCTCCATCGGTACTTTCTGCGGCTTATCTTGAGGATTACTCTGATGGTAAACTGCTGCTGACTTTTGCAGCATCTTGGAAACTTCGAAACGCCTTTTATGCTATCCACCGTCAAGTCCAGAGATTATTGCAAACGGAAGGATTTGGTTGTTTTCGAAAAGCAGTACGTGATGGCTGGCAAAATAAACAGTTCTGTCTCAATTTTTTTTTTAAAAATTTGGGATCCATCTACAAAGGTTGAGGAGCTAAAAGTACTAGATTTTCAGGAGAATGTGATTCATGATTTTTGAAGAACAACAAGCTCTGAAAAATTTTGGAACAGGAACAGTTTCTTTTTTAGAACAATTTATTACGCACAAAGTGGGGAAGGTGATAGATGAAAATTTGCTACGGGTCAGGCATGAAGTTTGGCGGTGGTGTGTGAGACGGAAAAAGCATACTTACATTTGAGCCACGAACAGTATTCATCGGTTTTGGCTATTTTTAAGCGATTTGGTTAGGTTTCTAAAGGCAAAAGATCCACAATTTTTCTAGGTTATCAATCTAAATGTGTCTATTTGCGTGCGATTACTTATTATTTTGCTATAGTGCTGTCTAAAGGGCAAGTTGTGATCACATGAAAAAGATGCAGAATCCCGAGATGCCGTACGTCGTGGCTGATAAGATCATAAATTTTTTGAAGCTTCCTGCGTGTCCCGTGTCAGAGAAAGGGTTCCATCTTATAAAGAAGTTGAGCAGCATGCCTATACAAGATTCCCCATCTTTTATTTAGGGCAGAGCCACTTCACAAACATTATCCATCAGCAGTGAACTTGTTTACGGCCTGAAACTGCCATCAGTTGCAAATGTAAGATTGGCCGAACCAATAAACCTATCCCGTAGTTTTGAAGCGTCCAAATGAGATGGTACACAAGCTATTAAAGTACGGTATGGGTTGGAATCAATCTTGTTCCCATGAAACCTCGTTTCCTGGCGCCATCGCTTTCAAGTATTCTTTGGAGGATTCGACAATAGCAAATACTGCTAAAACGGCCACAGAAAAATATTCATGGCCTCTTTGGAAGTTTTGCAGATGTTTGTGTGGACACCGATGTTTTGTTGGTCACTGCTGTTGTCATTATCTGTGGCGTTGGATGCACAGTTTCTGTAGTTGTACTAATAACTGACATTGTTGCCGTAACGGTAATCTCCGTGGGTCTGAAAAACCGGTTTTAAACAAACAAAAATCTGGGGAGAGCCACTGACGTCCATAAGCAACGCTCGCTGGTAATCAGTTGAAGTTTATTTCATCTCCTGAAGAGATTACCAACTCAAAGGTTTTACTTAAAAAAACACTTGACAAGAATTTTGTTGCTTCGAGATTTTATTAATGTGCGTGTTCACCTCGTCTCGAACAATGCAGTCTCTAAACCTCGATGAGGTGCCTTGCTGACTAGGAACCACTTCTTATAAAAGAGTGAAATATGAAAATGCGAAGCCTTCGACTTATTATATTCTCGTTACACGAAATCTAGAAGAAAATTAGATTTTTTTTTAATCGGGAACTGATACATAATCAGTTTTTTTAAGTTATTGTGATTTACAGCTCTTTTTTAAGCCTCCACGATTCAAACAGTGCTAATGCGGTGCAGTGGTGGTCAGCATTTGTGAATTATGGATTTACTGATCGCTAGAACGAAGAATGCAGAGAACTACAAAAAGTGTTCAAGCAGTATAAGATGAAAAATGAGAAAATAATTGTTGAAACTTACTGAAAATTGGATGGTTCCGGCTGCATGCAAATAGTCATTATGACGAGTATAAGCAGCATCAGGAATAAGAGTAATGCACCGATAAAGTACAGTCGCTTCTTTTTTGGCATATTCCACCAGCAAACCTTCGCCTTCAGGAAAAATGAATCATGGTAATTTGATGGATACCTTGAAAATGAAGAAAATGAGGCGCCAGTAAATTCGAAGGGAACAAGTAAAAAAGGGCAATAAAAGTATCACTCTGATAACTCTTTAAAACAACAGCCAAAATTACTTTTACTCCAGTCCAATACTTTGTGGTTGTGTAATTTCTGAGGAGCAGCGTCACTGACAACATTTTCATTTTCCTCGGTTTCAAGCCTGAGTTCCCCGAGGAACTCTATGCTATCAAATGCTTTTTCGTAATTGTGGCGCTCGAATGGATTCTTTCACCTTGCTGATGGTATTTTTCCAATTTTCGCAAGAGCACCACGAAAACTACGAAATGGAAAAATGAGGCAGCTGTACGAATGAACAGAAAAGAAAGCTTTACCTGATGTCAACTCTGGGATTGTTGGCATTGTAATAATCGGGCATCTCAATCGTTTCACCATCTGGCATTGGTTGAATCATGCTATAATCCTCTGCAAAGTATACGCATTATTGTAAAGTCTGTCGTTATTTCGCATGAATGGTATATAGCAGTCGTACTGGTATAATAATATATTTAAACAAAAACTATCGCAAGCAGTTTGTTCCTTGAATTTACTTGAATGAGCTGTATTTTTTGGGTAATCTGGTTCTCCAACCATGCAGCTGGCAACTTTTTCAGCGGTGTTTAGCCTTTGGCGATCCTGACCTCAGTTTCTTCTCCTGAAGGAACTGAGGTCAGGATTGCCAAAGGCTAACTCAACTACCAGTTAATTCTCCCGACAGCTCGCACAAGCTTGTCATTCAAAGTTTCTATTAGCACCAAGGAAAAAAATATATGGAAAGTGTACTGTAATAATGTGTAATGGAGCAACACTACTTCAAGGTATTTCATTAGGTTTTAAAAAAAAAAAAAAACTAAAGAGATTCGGATAAAAAAAGAAAAACTAAAGAGGTTTTAACGTGTTCCGGATACAAAATTTCGCGCTTCTCGGTCAGGAGAAACGCGTCTTGAGACAACTGCTCTGAAGTAAAATCCTCAGCGCCAGTAAGGTCAATGATGTTTGACAACTTGTTCTGAAGTCTGTCACTGTCCAGCGTCCTGAGGTCAGCAGCGATACTTCGTAGCTTTAAAAACTCCTCTTATTTACCTTATTTTTTGTTGATTTGATAAAAGTAGAAAAACAGTTTAGCAGAAGTGATAGCTGAACACAACACAAATACAATATGTACTATAAAAGCAGGAAAATGCAAAAGCAAACAAGTGCTGCTTGCTCGTTCGATTTGCCAGCGAGTAGTGATAAGAACCAAAATGATTAGAAATCGATTGCTGAGCAATGATAATACCTTCCCGTGGTGTGTTTACTTGGCAGTCATCCTACTGAGGAAAAGCGGAAAAGGCCATTGGCTATCAGACCCCTTGCTTTTCCATTTACACCTTAACCTTCCGTGACCTGTAATAGTCACTAAATGTCCATCACAGCTCCAACTCCACAAAATTTTTTAGTTTAAAGAATGTGATGGAAGCATGGTGCAGTGGTAAGTAGTGCAACTCTTCTGGTAAAAGTCGAGGGCACAGCTTTCCCGGTGGGGTAACCACTTCCTCTGTAATACGTTCATTCGTTTCAGTGGTAAAGCTATAGTGCCAAAAATCAGGCTAGGCAATCGTACCAGTTTTTCTCGAAGCTACTGTGGGAGGAGGAAGTCATCGACAGACCTGCCGGCGTGTGGTCGCTATTGGTATGTGCTACCACAGGGGCTACTTACAAGTGCTCGCAGCTCTCAAAGAATGGTTTATGAGAAAGGGTAGGGGTATTTTATTATTTTACTTAACTTCAGGAAACATACTACTTTTATTTAAATTTATTTTCAAGCTTCTAGCTTATGTTCTCCAGTAATGGGTTTGGTAAAATTATCACTGAAAATATAGTTCACCATAATGAGGTGTCTAGGCGGAAATTTACGAGAAAAATCCTTCTCCAAAATGCGGAAAGAGTTGCAATAACCGCTGGTAAAAATTGTGTCTCTTTCCACAGGCCCTTTGTTCATATCGGTATCAGTGTTAATACAGCATCCAGAACCTCATGAGCAATGATTGATAAGAGGAATTTTCGGCCACAAAAACGGCTTTATCAGCGCTTCGGCTTCTCTATCACAAAGGGTTAGTTAATGTAAATAGTAGAAATTTTTGATCGTTGGCTTTTCAAAAAATCTTTTCTCCAGTTACGAAGTTGACAACTTTTTCAGTTGCTTTGATTAAAGACTGCATTGCTTTGGTGGTCAGGTTGCTGTTAGCACTATTGACGTTCGTTTCGTTGCCTCGAGTTTGGGTTATTAAACGGCGTTATCGATGCTAATTCCTTTGCCATCATGTGGTTTTTTTTTTTTTTTTTCACAAATTATCATTAATATTTTTTACAGCTCATCAGTGATATTTTGTACTTCCCTGTTTGGTTTTAGAATGACTATTGTTAATTTGGTGTGGACAAATTTATTTTTGTAACAGTGATTTTTGCTCGATGTTTTTCCAGTGGTTGGTACCAACGAGGAAGAAAACGACCACTCGCACTGTGAATCTTCGAAAAGGCTGCGTGAACATATCCGAAAAGGTTAAGCGAGTATTAACTGGAAGTATGCAGTCCAGGACCCGGAGTGTAGGAACGTTCCAGTAACATCACTAACATGGGATACCCTCACTTGTGCTTTTTGAATAGTCCGCCATTTCGGTTTCGCAACGCCCCGAGAATGCGAAAGCGTGAAGCTATTCAGCTGACGCGTGTAGCTATTCACTTATTCTGGCGAGCAGTTGGTATTGCCTCTCTGCCTGTGTAGGTACCTCACGAACTCAAATTTAACTCCCGAGTGTGCTGAGGTTTTGCGTATAACCATGTGGGTGTTTTGGTGCGAAAATCGATGGTTTGGAAACTGGGGAGGTTGAAATTTGGCAGGATTTGACCGGTTCAAGGTTTCAAATTCAGCTTTCACGTACTGACAGGGAGATTTTTAGCGAGAAGTTTTGCAGTGTAGGGACCAGACAACATTTCGCAGTGAAAATCCTTAGCAGGCAAATCTCCTCTGGTGCGCACCGCTGTTTTTATTTTTTCAGCATCCGGCCAAAATGGATGTTGAGTCCGCGGAGTTGGTGGGGAGTATTGCCGATGGCAGCACCGAGATGGTGCCTGGCATTCCGCTGTGCACTGTATGCAGCAGACATTTGCTGGGCCCCAACGAGCGGGCCAGCAGCAGCAGCAGCGTGGATGCGCCCCATAAATGCGCCCTGTGTTTCGGTGTGCTCGATGCTAATTACGT